ATGGCTGTGGTTTGCCCAAAGGTGCTCAGCTTCCTCCCTCTGCTCGTTATGCTCTTCCAGGATGACTTCAAAGTAACCCATCTGACAGACACCCAGAGAGACACCTACTGGGAGAGCAATGGGTCCCCTGGGCAGCACTGGGTGCGGCTCCACATGAAGAAAGGCAGCGTCATCAAGTGAGACCTGAGGATGTCCCTTCCCCGGTGGTGGTTATGGCAGGGACAGAGTGCAGCTTTCCCTGGGCTGCAGCTCGAGGTGGAGGCTCCAGGAGTACACAGCCCCTGGGACGCCTCTGGGGGATCTCTGAGCAGCTCGGAAGGGGAGGATAATGCTGCATCGTGCTCTTGTCCCCAGGAAGCTGTGGCTGATGCTAAATGCATGCATCAACTCCTACGTCCCCAGGCGGGTGGCTGTGTATGGAGGGCCAGCCAACAGGCTGCAGCACCTGAGAACTGTCTTAATCAATGAGTGAGTAACGAGAGAGGAGCAGTTTCGGTCCAACTTCACCTGCCAGCCCAGCACCTTTATTTCTGCTTCTGAGCTTCATCTATGCTGCGTCAGCTGAGCTGCGGCTTCCTCCCAGCTAGGGATTTTGGAGGGCATTCCTCCTCTTTCTTGCCTCTGGGGGTGCACCGCTGCTGCTGCCTGAGTGCTTTCTGAGCACCTCTGCCATGCTGTAGCTGCAGTGCTTTACCTCTCCATCCGCCCTGCATCCTCACAGTGCCTTTCTTGAGATGGGCACCCAGAAGTGCAAAGATTTCCTCCTCCTTCTCCCCACCATGACTCGCCTGTTTGTACTTGTTGGATGATTTCTGTTTGAAGAAACACCTGTGAGACCATCGAGGTCCCTTTCCTGGCAGCAGGAGCTGTCTCCACTCTGCATGCCGGCTGCCGCAGTTGTTTTTCCCTGCATACCCGTCGGTCTTTGCAGGGACCTTGGCAGAGGCTTCGGAAACACCAGTGAATCACACACCGACTCACTCGTCCTCTCAAATCACTGCTTCCTCCAAAAACGGACCACCCTCACTGTGCCTCACTCTTATTTATGTGGCCAGTTCTGCTCCAACGTCTGTGCTGAAGCAGCCGCTCATGGCCACTTTGCCTTCCTGCCTCACTTTGTCCTTGCTGATTCTGTGCTCTTTCCTGGCTCTTCTCTGGTTGCGGTTCCCACCTCCTTCAGGACATCCTCTATGTTGTGAGCAGCCACTCCTCTCTGCTCCATCCCCTGCTGCTGCAGCCCTGGTGAGGCTTGGGGGCTTTCGCCACTGAGGACTTTAAGATGCTGGCATGCCCTTGATGGGAAACCAGCTTTGTCTTCACCAGGGCTGTGCCCTGCAGCCCTGCCATTAATCCATGCTGCCTGCAGGAACAGCTATCAGGATGTATGCATCCTACGTGACATGAAAACCCACATGCCAGTACTGGAGATCCGCATCTTGGAGTGCCGAGGTGAGCTCATGCGTGGGGTGCAGCTACCTCTGGCTTTTTCCCTGCTCCACCAGCTGCTTTGTGGGGCCATGGGAGGAAAAGCTGGCATGCACCTATGGCATTGCTGTCCTTCCCTGGCAGAACAAGGGTACAACGTCCGGCTGCGAGGAATTAAGTTCAAGTCCTTCTGGGAGAGGGACCTGAGCCTCAACGCAGACATGTTTCAGACGGCCCAGCTGGTGCGCTACCCACTGCTGGAAGGGGTGGATGTGGATGTACTGTACCACAGGGCCATAGTTATCCAGAGGTACAGCATGGGGACAGCAACAGGAAGGACAATGCTCTGGCCTCTAGCATGTGTCATGCTTAAAACGTGCTGGCTCCTTTCCTGTGTGTGGTATAGACTTTGCCTTGTGGTTCCCCATTCAAGCATAGCTGCTTTCAGTGCCTGGGGGGCACTGTGCTTGTTGTGGGGCTTGGAGACCCTACACAGCATCCTCACCCTTCTCCTCCCTGGTCTTCAGGTTCATCCAGCTCCTGGACAGTGTCCTGGGGTACCTGATCCCCATCTCTGATGAGAGTGACAGCAGCTTCAGTGTGCTCAGGGTGAGCATTCCCTGGGCTCCTTTGAGATGGTGTTGGTAGGACCGTAGCATGCTGGGCTGGGTGCCCTGGGACATGTCCTCATTTTCTCTGCGCTCTTCTTTGAGCCAAAGAAGACAGACCAGGGCTCACTCTCTTGTTCTGTACTCCAGCTGTTGCTGGAGGGATGGGGGAGCTGAGCATCCCCTGTGATGCTGAGGAGGGCAAAAGAGGGCACATGGGGCAGGATCAGGCCTCTAACCCCATTGCGTGTTCTCCATTAGGGCATGAAGCCATTCCTGCAGCTGTGCAAGCTGGGCAAAACCCTCGTCACCCATTGCCTGCAGAGCTCAGAGAGCAGCCCACCTTGCATCCTGCCAAAGCTGTTCATCAACCGGCAGCTGGCCCGTGAGCACCGGGCTCACCCTGAGCTGGACCCTAGTGGCCGAAACACAGTCTTCACCCAGGTACAGCAGCATCAAATCGAGAGCTTGATGATTTGGCATCACTCAGCATCGCTGCCTCTCCATCCCCCTCCATCACGTTCTTCTGCAGGTGTATGAAAACCTGAAGCCTTCCAAAACCAACAATCATCTCCTAAACTACAGGTGGGTTTTCAGCTTCGTGTCACCTCCCTGGAGCAGGATGCAGGTGATCAGTGCTGCTGTTCCTCTCAGAGGAGGTTTGCACAGGGCTGTTTCTTCCCCACAGGTGGCCTCAGACCCACAGCCAGTGGTGGGAGTGTGACTTCACCACGGAGGGCGTCATTGATAATGGTGAGAGCTCTCCTGTCCCTCCCTGAGCAGAGTTTGGGGGTCTCTGTTGCGATGGTGCCCTGCTCTGCACATGTGCCCCATGGGTAGAGGTGCGGATGGTCAAATCCTGCAGGCTCACTGTGTCCCCTCTGCAACCTCTGTCTCCTTTGCAGGCGGTGGTTTTCGGGACTGCCTGACAGACATCTCAGAGGAGCTGTGTCCCAGCTCTGGTGATGTCCCCATGCCCTTGCCCTTCTTTGTGCGCACATCCAACCAGGTTTGGCACCCCAGCTCAGCAGCATCCTCACAGCAGACTCTGGGCAGAGGTTGAATTAAATCTTGATGTCTCCCTCCCACAGGGTAACAGCAGCAGTGACACCAGGGACATGTACGTCCCCAACCCCTCCTGCAAGGACTTCCCTAAGTATGAGTGGATCGGACAGCTCATGGGAGCAGCCCTGAGGAGCAAGGAGATTCTGGTGAGTGTGGCACTGCCTCCCTGGCTGGCGAACAGTTTTGATGTGGGTCAAATCCATGCCACCGGTTCCCCTGCCACCAAGTCCCTTGGCTGGGCCATCCTCAGCTGATGCTAGGGAGGGCACATCTCCAATCACTCTGCAGGTCCTGGCTCTGCCCAGTCTGGTGTGGAAGCAGCTGTCAGGGGAGGAGGTCATCTGGAGCAAGGACTTCGCTGCTGTGGATATGGAGCTGGTGAGCGGGGCTGGGCCCGTGCCCTGTGCTCCCATGGCTGCCTCCAGCTCTGCTGTGACAGCGTTGTCCCTTTGGGTGGCAGGTGAAGCTGCTGGAGATGCTGGAGGAAGTGGACAGGGAGGCCTTCAACTTCATGTTTGGCAAGGAGCTGACCTACACGACAGTACGGAGTGACCAGCGTGTGGTGGAGCTGATCCCAAAGGGTAGCAGCACCGTGGTGCGCTTTGAGGACCGCAAGGAGTTCATCCGTCTGGTGCAGAAGGCTCGGCTGGAGGAGAGCAAGGAGCAGGTAACACCACGGTCCTGGCCGTGCAAGGGGATCACTTGTCAGGTCCTCCAGGTACCCTCTGTTTGGCCTGGTTGTTCACGGTGGGTTAGGGCCTGCTGCGGTGACACGGCTCTCCTCAGGTGGCAGCTATTCGTGCCGGGCTGCTCCGCGTGGTGCCCCAGGCTGTGCTGGACCTGCTCACCTGGCAGCAGCTGGAGAGGAAGGTCTGCGGGAACCCTGAGGTGACGGTGGACGAGTTGAAGAAGTTCAGTAAGTAGCAGGCAGCATTAAGCTGCGCTCATGGATGCTGCTCGTCCTCCGCCTGCGTGTGTGGAGACAAGTAGTCATCCTGCACCCTGGCACCCTGCCTTGATGTCCTTTGTGGAGCTCTTCTCACAAAGCCCCTGTGTGTTCTTTGATACAGTCACCTTTGAGGAGTTTGACAGCAGCCGCATCCAACAATTCTGGGATGCCCTCAAGAACTTCACCAGCGGTGAGCCACCACTGTCCTGCTCTTCACCCACTGGGCCAGGCCCGCAGGGTCACTTTTTCCCCTCGACTGTCCCTTGGCTTTCCCAGCCCTGAAGGTGACCCCAGCTTTGTTTCCTGTCCTTTCCAGAGGACCTCAGCCGATTCCTCAAGTTCATCACCGGCCGCAGCCGCCTCCCGGTTCAGCTCACCATCTACCCACAGCGGTCCATGTGAGTCTGGCTGTCCTGCAGGCTGTGGTCCTGCCATGCGGACCCCTGATCCAACTCTCCTTTCTCCCAAGCCCTGAGCAGTTGGATATGATGCCTGAGGCCTCCACGTGCTCCTGCTCCTTGTACTTGCCCAAATACTCCTCGTGAGTCTGCCTGGAGATGAGGACGCTCAGCCTCCCCAACCACGGGGGGCAGCGGGGAATTTGGGGACAGCCCCGGCCCTAACCCAGTGTGTTGCCCCCAGGGTCAAGACGTGTGAGGAGCTGCTGCGCTTCGCCGTGTATAACTGCATGTCCATCGACACCGACAGGAACACCTGGGACTAGTGGCAATAAAACCACTATTGGTCACAGTTGTGTCCTTGGTGTGGAGAGCGCCGTGTAGGGGCTGCGTGTGTTGTTTTTTCCCCGGCCGTGGGAGCACTCCCGTTCTTATCCTCTTGTCCCCCTGATCCTTCGGGTTCAGTGGTTCCCTCCCATCTCAGTGCAACCAGGTTGTGGTTTCCGGCTGCCCGGCTGGAGATAACCCCCCCCCCTCCTCTCCCGGAACTTGTCCCCCTACAGACTACTCTCTGCATTGCATCCCGCAGCCCCCCCTGTGTGCACCCCCTGGTGCAGTTCCGCCCCAGGCCGCATGGGGGCGCTGTGCCTCCCCGCAGCGAAACGGCAATCCAAGGCTCGGTGATCCCGCGCTCCTCCTCTCGGCGCTCCTCTCGCTGACCGGGCCGCCAGGCTGGGAGGTGATCGATCCGATCGGCGCTCTCCCTCCGCTTTCCGCCATCGATGCGCTCGGCTCTCCGGGCGCACGCGCACTGCGCGCCGGCGCCGCCATTGTGGTTCTGTCAGAGAGGTGCTGGGCGCCGGCGGAGCGGAGGTAACGGCGGGGCCGGGCGGGAGCGGTGCGGCTGTGGGAGAGAAGGGGAGGCCGCGCATGCTTCCGAGCAGCCGAGAGGGGTAGAGTCGAGCCGGGCTGAAGCGAACCGCTGTAACCCCGGCTCGGCCCGGTGCTGCCGCGGGTGAGTGATGCCGTTTCTGTGTGGCAGATGGAGTTCCAGGCCGTGGTGATGGCGGCCGGAGGCGGCTCCCGCATGACGGACCTGACCTCCAGCATCCCGAAACCGCTGCTGCCGGTGGGCAACCGCCCCCTGCTGTGGTACCCGCTGAATCTCCTGGAGCGCGCCGGCTTCGAAGGTGAGGCGGAGCCCGGGGTGGGGAAGAGAGCAGGCGGCCCTGCTGCCTTCCTGGCACCACCTCCATCGGTCGTTCTTCCACCTGGGACTGGAGCCGCTGTTCCCAGCGCCGTGCCTTTTAGCTGCAGGCTACATTCCTGTGCATGCTCCCTTCCCACCCCTCGTCGCCCCCCCCCCGAGGGCTCTCCTCATCCATACACTTGTCCTAACTTTGGCATCTTTGCCGATGTTGTTAATCAGAAGTCTTCTCTGCATTTATTTCTGTGAGTCATTAATGACAGTGGTGTGAGTTGTATGTCAGCTCTTTTGGATGGCTTCTGGTGTGTTGCTCCGGTTTGGCCTGAAGTTCAGGGTTATCTGCCCATTTAGTCATTGCTGCAGAGGGCAGCTCAATGCTGGGCTTCAGGCAGAGCAGCACAGGGGGAGCTGGCAGCCTTGTAATGCTTGCTTTTGTACTTTGCTTTTTTGCTGCTTCTTTTGTTTCTCTTCAGTGACTGCATCACAGAACATCTCTTCGCTGTTCTGTGCTCTGTGTTGAGAATGTGACTTTTTTCCAAACCAATGCTCTTTTCTTTGGAGATGTACCAGTTAGCATACACAATGTATTCATGTTAGCTTATTACTGTTTTGGTGTCTGGGAATAAAGGGAAAAATAAATGTGGGCCTTTGCCTTTATTTTGTCTTGTTGAGAAATCCTTGAGAACCTTTATATGTCCTTTGAAAACTTGGCCACGCAAGGTTACACATGCAGCTTCAGTAAGCAACCAACCACCTCCTTGCTTTTCTTGCTTCTGCTCCCTGACCAAACAGCACATTCTTTTTGTAAATTCTGCAGTAGTATGGATTCCTTTACTGGATCATAATTTTAATTATTTGTTAGGTGATAATTTGGTTCTTATTACATGCTTGTGTTAACAAGTAGGTGTTCCCCAGTCTGATTCACTGCCTCCCTTTTGTCCCAACTGCAAGCACCATTCTAATATTTAGGCCTTTGTCCTTCTCGCCGAATTTGTGCTGAAATGTGGGCTTACAGCCTCCACCTGACACCAGTTCCTTTTCCACTGGTTACTTCTTGCCCCAGTTCTAGCTGACATCCTGCACAGGAGTGAGAGGAGAGCCCTCCAGTAGCTCTGGTACCAAACTGTCGCACAACTCCCATACAGCTCTCCTGTTTACATTTCCTTCTTTTCTGTTAACAGTTTCAGGAGGACATAATTTTTGACCCATGCAGATATATTCTTAGAGTGTTTTTATTGTATGGCAGGAACGTCTTAGGCAAAGGGCTGAACTCTTTGCTAGACTTTGTTTAAAATCCTGTGGAGAATGCAATGGATGGGTGGTGATTTTTTAATTTTTTATTTTTCTTTCTTTCTTGAGTGTGTGCCTGCTGCTTTTTCTTTGAGACCAAGGGAAAAGATTTCTTGCTTTTTTGTTTTCTTTTTCATTTTTTTTTCCTACAAAGCTTCTGTTCTCATATTCTTCATTCTTGAAAATTTGCTGTCACCATTGCCATTGATGTTCATCAAATACACTTTTACCTTCTCTTTTCTAGGTGGAATGAGTTTGTTGTTCACAAACTACTCCACTTCTTTGCTAAGCTGGTGTTGGCAGTAGTTTAACAATGCATTGTGATGCTGTGCTTGGTGGTGGTGTCCAGAGAGCTATACAGGATTGGGTAGGGTGAAAGGCAAAGCTTAAGAGTATTGCTGTTGCTTGATCTCATCCCACTTTCCTCTTCTAGAGGTCATTGTGATTACAAGAAAGGAAATCCAAAAAATGCTAAACTTGGACACAAAAATGAAGCTGGATTTTGTGTACATCAGTGACAACGTGGACATGGGTACAGCAGATTCACTGAGGCATATTCACCAGAAAATAAAGGTATTTTTGTACTTTATTGAACTTGACTAGAACACATTTGTTTAAACTCATCTTTTTTTTTTTTTTTTTCTTCCCATTACCTTTAATACCCTGAGAGCTGTACCATGTAATGCTATTGCAGGTAGCTGAATTTCCCGATCTGCGGAAGGTCTGACTGTTGTGTAGGTCACCTCACAGGGGAACGCAGACAAGGACTTGAGTAGAAATGATAGGTAGAAAGGCCAGAACAAATCCAGGCTGGGCTCTCGATGCCATTTACTCTTTGTTACCTTTCTGGCAGGTTAACTAAGAGGTTGTATTTGCTCATATCATTTTTTACATGATATATGTTAGCTGTTGTCCAGTTTGTGCCTGGGAAAGCATTTCGGAGAGGTGCAATCAGCTTAGGCAACACACTGGTATGTGAGGAAGCTTGGGCTTGGTTCTTTCCATTAGGCTTCAGTTTTCTGCTTGTAGTAGCTTGGTCATGTGATGAGCTCTTAGGTAAACAGTGCCTAAATGTGATAAAGGGCTACTTACTGCAATTGGATGCTGTTCTAATAAAAATGATTGTTTCTTGAGTTTTAATTTCTAACTGCACAAATAAAAACGCTGCAATATAAAGCAAAAATGCTACTTGGAGCTCATACCAGGATCTGGGATGGAATTTTGTTTATGTGGTTGTCATATGCTTAATCTTTCTGATTTGTTCCCTGTCTGTTTAGGCCATCTTAGCCAAATTGGCTATTTAAACAAAGGTTGCAACAGAACATCATTGGACCATTTAAAGTCCTGAGGTGTCTTTTGTCTTCTTCAGGTTCTGTTGAAGGTAAAAAAAATGCAGTATAACAGGCTGTATACTTTCAAGGTAGACTCCAATCAAGATAAGAAGAAACTTTCCAGACAAATATGGGTGTCCAGGTGGCACAGTGAGAGAGGTTTTGTAAGGTATCAGTGTACAGACTGTAACAAATCAAAGTGCAAATGAGATATAAAGAGGTAAAACAAAATTAACAGAATCGTAGTTTAACTGAAGATTTCTGTCGTGTGGAGAGCAGCACTCCATAATCACTCAGGTACAATTTTTTCATGTGTGTATGCAGTAAGGAAGTCTCTCTGCATGGCAAATTTTGACCCAGGCCTTATAGTTTTATTGCCTGATCAGAGTGGTCAGCCAGCAGGCTGGATGTACATCTTTTTGGCAATCCAGGCAGTTTTGTTAGGAGAAGTCTGAGAGACAGTTGTAAAGTGTGCAGAGGTGAGAACATAGACTGTGTTGTTAGAGGAGGCAGTGTTGTGTTAGGGGTTAGAGAAGAAGGGAGGCTACATTCAAAACCAGCCATTTTCTTCAGTAAACTTCTGTGTCTGAATGGCAGCAATTGCTTCTCCCCTTTTTTTTCCCTATGTCTAGCTTGACTGGCCAGAGAGGACATAGTGGTCTCTTATTTGAAATAAATCTATACTAAGCTCTTGAGCAGATTGCTGCACTGTGTATTTTGGAGTCATTCCTCGAGTAAATACGTACCAGTCGTTTACCTCTTACAGGATGTACCCTCTCCTGTGCAGCAGAGGTGAGAGAACTACATGGCAGGGGTAGCTGAAAAGCTGTAGTCTGTGGTGCAGCAGGAGAGGGACCTCACTCCAGAATTAGTTTTAACCAGGGAAACAACTGCTGCTTGTGGCCATAGTTTGCTGGCAGGCTTTTTGCAGCCCGTGCCAAAAGCCTGATGAGGAGTTTAAACTGGTTGCTGAAACTTTTATTTGTCACAAATTGAGTTAATTGCCCACAGACAGAAGAGCAAGTATGCTCAGTAAAAATGAGGTAACGTGGCACAACATAGATAACTTGCCTGTATGCAGTGCAAGTGACATGGAGTAAAGCCAAAATTATTAGTGCGCTATAAGAAATATGCCCGAGGCTAGCTGAATAAATCCCGAGGTGCACAGAAACATTGGACCACTCTGAAGCATGAGGTCTCATGATGTGCTGCCTTGTCTGGCCTTGGACTGAGTTCCAGCACTGAGTGTTGCTGCTTGCTGTGCCTGCTGCAGCAGGTCTTTTTGCTGTGCTACACCTTTGCTAATAAGGTTTGATACTGTGAAGTTCAGGTGTCAAAATTAGGTTTATAGAATTGCATTCAGATGTAACATAAGAATGCATATGTGCAAAGCCTGTAACAGCTCAGAGAAGGTGGTTTTCATTGTTCTATTACTTTCTCAGTGCTGGCATTCTGGGAGGTGAGTAAGACTGTTCCTGTGCATGGAAGCAATCAACTGACTGCACCAGTCTTACTCTTTCCTGTTCAGTGATTGCATTAAATCACAAAAAAACTGATCAAGCTTTTTTTGCTGTTTACCTTCTCCATGCAGATCTTAACTTCAAGAGCTGATACAGTAGATGTGTACCCTTTGCTGTTCTAGAACTCCTCCGGTTATTTTTGATTGTCTCAGCCAATATCAGATGGATGATGCCAGCTTTATTAGGCATTTGATATTGTTTATTGGGCTGAATGTATCCTTTTCTTGCATCCTTCCCAAAATAAAGATAACATGCTGAAATTGAATCCGTAAGTCACTTCTTTGAGAATTAACACACAGCATTGTCCTTTTATGTAAGGATACGAAGCAGTTTGTGTGAGATCTTTGTGATAACAATCCATCTGTTCCTTCTGATGCTTCCCTGTAGACAATCTTAGCCTTTCCTTTGGATGCCCTTTGTTTCGGGATCCTCCTACAGTAGTTGTACACTGTGACAGTTTCCATGGCCACCGTTTTAATGTCCACACTTTTGTGACTTTTTTTAACATTTCATATTATTGTTACTTTTATTCATTTGTGCCCTTTAAATTCCTAGTTTTCTACTAATCTTTTGCCAGAATGCTAATGGGTAGCTGTTCAAAATATGGAGATGATGGTGAAACTGTAAAGGCTTAATTATTTTCTTGTTTATATAGAGAGTTGGGAAGGGTAGAACACAGACTGTATAGACTCGCTTGATGGTATTACAGTAATGCTTGTGTTGAAACTGTAGTTTTACTACCATAGGGGTGTTTACAGGTCTCTGTCATCTCATGATCTGTGCTGGTGGGAGAGCCTGAACAGGTTAAACATAGAAACAAACCAACTCTCCATGCTTCTGGGTTTGGGTGACAGATTGATGACCTTGCTTGGTCATGAAGAGTGAAGGGAGCTCTGCTGCCCTGGATTGGGCCTTGGCAAAAGAATGGTGTATAGAATAATTCTACGTAAGATTTGGGTTTGCCTGTATCACTGAGTAAATTAGTGACAGCAACATTGATTTCTCTGCCTTCTGACTTCCATTTTTCTTTCAATTGTTTGCACGTGCAAGTGTACCAGAGTAATTCTGAAGTAATTTATTTAGTGAAAACTTCAGTACTTTGGGAGCTATTGCCTTACCCACAGCATGGAAATGAGAAAAGTCCAGCAAAGCTTATAGGATGCAGAAGTTGGCATTACCATAGATGTCTTATGCTGTCTGGCTTTGAAAAGCTGTGTGAAGGAAATATTGCTGTTCATGTCTTTTTCTGAGAATCAGCATCAGCAATGACTTTGAAATTTTAGAACATTATTTTGTGGATACAGTAACAAAGTCAAATCACTCTGAATTCTGTACTAAGTAAATACCACCTTTTCCAGTGCTAAAAGTAGACTCTGAAGTCTTTAGGCAGTACCTGTGTTTTCCTCTGCCTCTGAAAGCTGTGTGTTGTCTTCTGCTTATGTTGGAGTCTTGTTTTCATTGATTATTTGCATTAAAAAATATCCTTTGTGGTAAGTTATTTTTACATGAAATGTAAAGCAAATTCCCTCCTTCAGGAAATCAGCTTTTCCACATCCCTTACTCTTGTCACTTCCTGGTTCTGCTCTCCTACTTACCTTTCTTACTTCCATCACTCACACGGGCTGTTAATTGCTGGTTAATCCATCACTTGCATGGGAAACCATGACAGTCTTTGCTAAGGAACAACAAAATACTTCTTCCACAGGTGATGAGGAAACACCAAACTTACTGTGGATTTCAATTTAACTTTCCTCACTCACAGTGTTTCATGAATAAGGGTTTTTAAATGAGATTCATGTTAATGAAGTTTAGTAAATCAGTATAACTTTTCAGCACACTGCTACAAACTGGGAATGGCGTTGCAGATGTGACAGCAGGAGTAAAGGTGTAACGTGATAGCTTCCATGTTCCTGTTTATTTTTATTAAGCATCCAAAGCTTGTTGACTGCCAGGGACAGAGTGGAAGGTAGAGAGACTCTCTGTAAGAAATGAAGAAATGTGGGTTTTGTTTTGTTTCTTTTTTCAATCATGCATAATTGCTTTCCCCTCGGTAACTGTCTCCAGTCCTTGGTTCTGGTTTTGATTGGTAAGCAGCACTGACTGGAACATTCAAATGAGTTCAGTCTGAACAGCAGGGAAATTAGTAAGAAATCCTGTTTCAGTGACATTACCTGATACGCTTCCTAGCTAGAAGAGGTGTCTTTGTCCTGTTTGTTGCATGCAGTGGATAATGATGCTGTTTTGTTTTATAGGCAGCTTATCTCTCAGTGATGATTTTTATTTTTGAAATTGGGGCAGTAGGCTGCCTGTTAAAAAGGTTAACTTGTTTTGATGTCTCATTAAATTGTATGTAATGTAATCCCCTCTTAGGAAGGCTTTTCCTCTGTAGCTGCTCTTCTTGAAGGGCTTCTCACAGTTTAGTAGACCTCCTTTGGATGATTCATGCGATCGCAATGCGGTCATAGATGCCATGGCCTGCCATGTTATAGCACAGCAACAGTGTCAAGAACTTGGTAACACTGAACTCAGAATTTGGGGAATTAGTAACAAGAAATTTGACTAGGAGTAAATTTATGACGTCTCAGAATGTATTAGTTGAATTAAGATGACGGTGAGCAGCTACTGTGTTGGAGGAGGTAAATGCAAGAGAAGGATGTATCAGGTATTCTTCAATTGCAATGAGAAATTAATTGCTTAAGGCAGTGGGAAGATTTTTGACTGG